ATAAACTACGACATGGAACAATTAAACCTTTGGTCAAATAAATGGTTAATGAATTTCAACCCAAATAAAACCGAAATTCTCTTAATTTCCAACACAAATATACCTTCTAACCCACAATTTCTTTTCGACAACACACCTATCCCTATTGTTAAAAACCACAAACACCTAGGAGTCATTATTAGTAACAACGGCACATGGAACTCTCACATCGAACATATATTAACAAACACTACAAAGTACATTGCAACTTTAAGGAAATTAAAATACATCCTACATAGAAAAAAACTGGAAAAAGTATACCTTGTTTTTATAAGACCACTATTTGAATATGCCTGCGAAATATGGGACAATTGTAATATCACATTTTCGAATAAATTAGAGAACATGCAGTATGAAGCAGGTCGAATAATAACTGGATTACCTATTTATACAAACAAAAAAATATTTACAGAGAGCTCGGATGGTAATCATTGATAGATAGACGCAGGATTAGAAAATTATCCATGTTTTATAATATTTATCATGATAATGCTCCCTCATTTCTAAAATCTCTTCTACCACCTATTGTGTCAAACTTCTCTAACTATAATCTTAGAAACAGGAATAACTTTCAGAACCCATACTATAGACTACAAATCACAAAATCATCCTTCATACCAAGTACTTCAGACTACTGGAACAATCTACCAATAGAAACAAAGTCATCAGCATCCATTAAACAATTTAAAACTCTTATTCAGCCTCAAGTCACTACCCCTTCTTATATTAAATGTTTTCTTGAATATGGGTCCAGAAAAGTAAATATTATACATTGCTAATTACGAAACCGCAGTAGCTCTTTAAATTACGACCTTTTAAAAGCTCACCTTCGAGACAACTCTACTTACAACTGCAGAAATGACTCGAAAGACTCTTCCCATTTCTTACTAAACTGTAAAAAAATTTGATCAATCCCGTAATATAATGCTTCAATCCCTCGATTGGTATAACGAAATCACTTTTGAACACCTTCTCTTCGGAGAGGCAACCCTTGACTACAATCTAAACATTCAAATTTGTAGGTCTGTACAACTGTTCATTTTTAGCTCCAAACGGTTTAGCATGTAATATCCAACAGTCATATTGAATAACCAGGATACCTGCTTCGACTATTCCCATCTGTCTCTCCCCTCCACCTCCTCTCTTATTCCAGCCCCTCTCCCTTTTTCCAACACCAACGATCTCTGTGTACTAACTTCAATCTTACCGTCCATCAATATCATAACCGTTTCCATTTGACAAAGAGTGCGTGTCCGGTTTTCCTAATCTAGTCGGCTAAGTATGTAAGGCAGGAATTCACAAAAGGACTTGAAGTGACACAGGAGAAAGCCAAAGCGGCACGGAATGTGATTGAACTTTAGAAAAGCAGAAGGATATGTGTGTATAGATTAGGTATACTACTTACGCCGACTCGATTGGGATAATTACACACGCGATCTCAAGTAAACTCTCCGAATACATATTTAAAAACTATACGTTGGTGTCACTAATCCTATCATTACCTCTTTTGCTGTAACCCATCTTTAACATCTTATATATATATATACATATATAAATTTGTATTGGGTTATTACGTGACACATTAATTTTGTATATATATTTTCTGTTACGGAAAGGACGTAAGTAAGTTGCAATAACTTTTGTCCAATCCATTTGTCTTTTGTTGCAATAAAATTGATTTAAACTAAAAACAAGGAAAAGACCGGCTTATTTTGCGTACATTGCGTGTATAGAACTCACTTCATTCGTTCATGTCAAATGTATATTCGGCATAAAAGTAAACGGGCGAGATTCAAACTTCCTGTTATACGCAGTGGTGGTACTTACCAAGCAAGTGTTCAAAAAAATGTTTTCTGTATTTTGAAAAACATAAATGTTGCATTAATTAAGTACAGTTGCATTATATGTTATAGCCATGACGGATATGGGACTATGTCGGCTCCAGACTGATATTTTTCACTTATCTAAGCTATTTTTCTTATTTTCTAATGTTCATTGTATGGTACCTATTGAAGCTCGTCTGTCAGTTGTACTGGACGAGTTACGTCCCTTTGTTTACATTCTGTTATCTTGTGATTGCACCTGTGCGGTACAAGGGACGTTGGCCAGGTAAGCCACATGTGTGCGCTACTAAACATATGTTGTGGTACGAATGCAAATAGCTAGCGAACAGGATCTGAATGAATTTACAGCAACAAGAATTTCTATGTGATATTATGTTTTATCTTACGAAAAATCTAAAGAGTAACTCAAACATTGAAAGTCGTTCTCATTTTTGACCTATGAACTCGCTAACTTGATACTAAAATCACTTATATTATGATTACAGTTACCGCCCCTGGTTATACAACGAGTGCAGGTAATGTTTTAGTATCATTGCAAATAAGTGTTCAATTTGATTTCAATTTTAATCATATCTGTATTTATAAGACGTAAAATTTACAGGAATAGCAATTTATTATCGCTTTCAGAATATATTAATTCTGTTGAGAATTTTGAAAAAAAAAGAATGTCATTATTTTGTTCAATTTTTAATAGGAAAACAACATTCATTTTATGAATTATGTTTTGAATTCCCACCTTTTCGGCCGTTAATTGTCTACAAAATCTTATATCACAGCTGTATGGTGTAGTGTTAATTGTCTACCAAATATTATATCACAGCTGTATGGTGTACTGTTAATTGTCTACCAAATCTTAAATCACAGTTGTATGGTGTAGTGTTACTTGTCTACCAAATCTTATATCACAGCTGCATGGTGTAGTGTTAATTGTCTTCCAAATCTTACATCACAGCTGTATGATGTAGTGTTAATTGTCTACCAACTCTTATATCACAGCTGTATGGTGTAGTGTTAATTGTCTACCAAATCTTATATCACAGTTGTATGGTGTAGTGTTAATTGTCCACCAAATCTTATATCACAGCTGTATGGTGTAGTGTTAATTGTCTACCAAATCTTACATCACAGCTGTATGGTGTAGTGTTAATTGTCTACCAAATATTATATCACAGCTGTATGGTGTAGCGTTAATTGTGTACCAAATCTTATATCACAGCTGTATGGTGTAGCCTTAATTGTCTACCAAATCTTATATCACAGCTGTATGGAGTAGCGTTAATTGTCTACCAAATCTTATATCACAGCTGGATGGTGTAGTGTTAATTGTCTACCAAATCTTATATCACAGCTGTATGGTGTAGTGTTAATTGTCTACCAAATCTTATTTCACAGCTGTATGGTGTAGTGTTAATTGTCTTCCAAATCTTATATCACAGCTGTATGGTGTAGTGTTAATTGTCTAATTATTAATTGCCCAGATTCTTCTGGGGTACTTTTTAGTCCTCGAGGTTATCTCTTTTGAATTTTTGACATGGTTCATAATATACATATACAATTTAGCTATTTTACGCACCACCCCTTCAACAGGTATTTGGAACAATTGTGAAATTTCGACTTTTTGGCACCTATATCATCACCGATTAATCTTTAAAGGAAGAAACAGCTGGATGGGACACTGTAATTTATTTTTGGTATACTGTATACATTACCATACTGTATACATTACCATACTGTGTACAATACCTTACTGTGTACATAACCATACTGCATATATTACCATACTTTGTACATTACCATACTGTGTACATTACCATACTGTATACATTACCATACTGTATACATTACCTTACTGTTTACATTACCATACTGTGTACATAACCATACTGTATATATTACCATACTTTGTACATTACCATACTGTGTACATTACCATACTGTATACATTACCATACTGTATACATTACCATACTATGTACATTACC